GAGTCCAAGTTTTATTATGTTTTTTGAGTGTTATATATGCTGTTTTATGTTTTGCCGCCCTATAAGGGCATAGTTGTCTTTGTACTGTTCTATTATTTTAGTATAAATAATAAGTGAAGGGGGCGGCCAGATTATTGCTATCTTTTCTTTCAACTTCTCTTCTTCTCTCTTCCTTCTCTCTTCAAGAAACTACTTTCTTTCATATTTTTTAATTCAGCAGATTTCTACTCAAGTAAAAGAGAAAATACAATGGTGGAGCTGCTATAGTAGAATTTACTAACACACATAAGAGAGAGAGAGAGAGAGAGTATAGTAGAATTTACTAACATGCATATTAGTAAGATGCAGCCATAGTAATGATTATAATAAGATGCCAGCCTTGTTAATGTTCTTACATTAAGTCATGTTTCTTGGATTAGCTTTTTATCCACCCTGTCTATAAGGATGCGGGAACTCTTGCGTATTTAATATCAAAATAGGGTGTTGTTGGGCTGGTCGCTTCTGGGGACCATCCTACTATACCCTTGCCCATTTGACACTACACTTGGGATAAGGTGCAGTGTGTCCTTTCCAGAGAATGTCCTAACATGAACATGAAAAACACTATTGGCACAATGTATTCACCAAGACATTTGAATAAAAAGTTACTTTCATTATTTGTTCTTTTTCCTAGATTTCCTTGTTCAATTGATCAACTAGTCCAAAAGTAAGTGTATGGTTGGAAGAGATGTGGGTTGTTGGTTTCCCCCCCCCCCCCAAAAAAAAAGGCTGTGGGGTGGGGGGGTAGACCCTTTGACAAAGAAAAAAAGCCTTTTCTTTGAAGTCCAATTTGTAATTAATATTCAGATTGATTTAGCTGATATTTGCATTTTCTCAAGAATAATGTCTTGCCTTAAAGTTGGATATAATTTTAGTTGTGCCAAGGATTTGCTTGTTTTCCCTTCTAGAGTTACCTTTTACACGCATTTCTCAAAAATCTATTTAAGTTATTCCATTTTTTTAAGATGATGTAAGGAATGGTTTTATCATACCTACTGAAAATATGAGCACTTGTTAATAGAATGCGTGTGCATGTTTTTTTTTTTGTTTTCTTGATTGAAAGATTCCAAGCTCTCGGGATGCTTCTGATTCACTAGTTGATACTATTCCAAAGACTGATGATGGTTTAATTGACTGGTCACAGGTAAGGAGACAATCTCATTTAAATTTGCCCTTCATATTTCAGCAAACACTGAATTATCATCATCAAGTAACTGCTTGTTTGTTGATTTAGTTTATTACCTCAATATTGTGTTTTTTAGGAATCTCCCTCAAGAATCTTGGTGGTCCAGAAACAGGGTGAATGCTTTGACATTGAATCAAATTCCATGTAAAAGAACAAAAGAAAAAGGCTACTTCCATAATAATTTTATAAATATGAAATATCATTATGAAAATACTTCCCTATCAAATTCTTTTGGCTAAAATGATTCTCTTTTGTCTTTCTTTCTTTTCCTTTTTTCCTATCTAGTGCTGTAATATATTTTTCTCTCATTTCTTAATAATTGTTTTTTTTTTTTAATCTAAAGATCAACTTGGAAGGTCTCTTAGAGTATTTAGAAGCATCAGTGAGCTGTCATGTTGATCTGAAGTAAGGACTAGCTGACCGATATTTCAGATCTATATAAAGAGAATATTTCAGTTGGGTAGTTAGAGTTTATGATGAATGAAAAGTTTACTTGCTAGTGGCCGCTTCAAGATACAAAAAAAAATCGCTGAGTTGTGGGCACCACTGTATGAAGGTTTTCCTCAAATTAAATTTTAATGGAAGTAGCATGGTGAACCTGGGTCCTTCAAGCATAAGGGGAGTCTCTAGAGATGAGAAGGGTGTTCAAAAGCTTGTAATAGAAGGAGATTCTAAGGAGGTTGTGGGCTGGCTGAAGAACGAGGAAGCCTTTTGGACATACAGGAATGAAATCAAGAAGCTTAAGTGGTTAATTCAAGGAATGCAAGGTGCAAGTGCCATGGGTTCAAAGATCAATTAATGCTATGGCTGATACTTTGGCAAAACAAGGGGTGAACAGGAATCACTGATTTTTGGCTGAATTGTAATATTGTAATATTTTTTCTAATGGGGAAGAGAAAGACTTTTCTCTTGAAAAAGGTTCTTTCTGTTGTGGTATCTTGTGAGGTCCAATCCTCCCTCCCTCCTTCCTCTTATTTCTTTTATCTTCTCTCTCTGATCTTCTCATATTTTTTCTATGCTAAGGTCTGAAATACTCTTGTTCATAACTCTCATATTACTCATCCCACCACCTTAGCTCACTTGACAACCGCCCAAGGGCCCCCTCAATTACTGCATAAGTGAATCAAAGAATGTAGACTACACAAAAACCATGATGGATGCTAGCTATGCTCTAATCGAGTCCCATCACCAATAGGCACTGAATACACCTGTAAGATTACTCCATTCTGGTTCCTGGCAAAACCCCAACCTCCTAAAGGACCTAGATTTTTTTTTGATAGGTACCATAAACAGATTTTGTATTAAAATGATGTATACAACAAGCTATTATATACTATTCTCCCGTCCAATTGCTTTTGGTATTTGGGATTGGTTTTATCTCTATTTGGATGCAGGTGGAATCCCTTAACAGATGTGGTTAGCTTGTTCAACTCAACCTTTGTTACTTTACTGAGAAGAAAAGGGAAGATCATGTGGCGATGCACCAGGGCAGTGTTCCTTTGGACTATATGGGGGAGAGAGATGTGAGAATATTTAAAGGGTAGGCACTCAGTAAGGCTATAATTGAAAGTATTGGTATCAAAGCGGTGCCTTGGACAAAAGCTATGGACCTGTTTGCCCCTTCCCATTTGATGATATCCTTAGAGGGTTACAATGGGTTGTCTCTTCTTCTACCTCAAGAGTTGTGTCATGCACAATGGTGAGTTGGTGACCACCTACTGATGGCGTGATAAAAATGAACTTTGATGGAGCCGTTTTGGAAATCCTGGGACTTCAGGCATAGGTGGAATTTTTTGAAACCAGCATTGTACCGCTCTAGCAATTTATTTGAAGCCAGTTGGATATGGAGACTCTGTAAGGGCTGGAATGTATTTAATACATTCATAGACCCAAAAATAAAACGTGGACTTTACTGTTAAAGTCTCCCTTTATCTTCCCACATAGAATCAAAGCCAGATCTGAACACTCACTTGACCCCTTGTGAACCATTGCCCAGTCCATTACAAAATAGCTAATGTCTTTGCAGACGTGACCACTCCCTGCTCCTTGCAAGGAAGTGGACCAAGAATAAGTTATTACATTTTTTGACAGATGATTTGGAAAGCATGCAGGATTGGCACCTCACAGTGTCATCCATGGTGAAGTGCCAAAACTCCTCCCTATTCCATATTTTTTGAATCCCCTTTTGCCAATCTGTTCTATTTAAAGCCATATCCACTGTCAAATTATTAGTGCTTTAGCTGATCAACATCTCAGGTCAAATTTAATATCATAACAAGTTCTTGCGTTTCATTCTTCCGAGTGTCCATGTCACTGCTACTTTGCTTTGAAGCATCTTCACATGATTTTCCTCCACACCATCTTGAGTGAAAGTAAGACTACAGAGGCCCAAGTCTGAAAATTTGAAGACATCTGTACAGGACATTAATAGGGTATTGTATGGATATACCACTAGCTATGCAAGGAGCCAGGAAGGGGGTGGGAGAGTGTTGTACAACTTGATACTGCTTGGTTTATTTTGGTTCTAAAATTTCAATTCTACTGTGTTTATCATGACCAAGTCTGAAATTTTGAAGACATCTGTACAGGACATTAATGGGGTATTGTATATGTTACTAGCTATGCAAAGAGCCAGGAGGGGGGGGGGAGTATTGCACAACTTGATACTGCTTGGTTTATCTTGGTTCTAAAATTTCAATTATACTATGTTGATCATGGCCACCTCTTGATGTAATGCTTGCTTGTAACTCACTCATTTAGGAATCTTTTGTTACTAAAGTTCTTTTCATGTTGATCATCATCATCCAAGCCTTATCCCAACTATATGGGGTTGGCTACATGAATCCTGTTTTGCCATTTCGTTCTGTTTAATGCCACAGCTCGTTTCATGTTGAAACCAGCCTTAATTTTAAGTCTTTATCCCCTACTCCACCCCTTGATTTAAATTTACTTAGCAGTCATTATGTTTAGAACTGATTATGAAGTTAAAGCAGTGCTGTTAATTATGATTGTATTTCTCTCTCTCTCTCTATTTTTTTTTAATCATGGCAGGATTTTTTTGGGAAACCAGCATTCTTGACTGTTTCGGGCCAACTCAATGCTGAAACATATGCTTCTGCTCTTTGTGATGTATGCATTCTCTTTCTATGCTCATATCCATATTGTCATTCTCAACATGTTGTTTAGTCATCATAGTTTTGAAGACACCAAGTCAAAAGCTAGGTGACTGGGGGCCTTGTTGCCTATGTGATTAGTTTTTTAAAATACAAAAAAAATATAAATCCTAGGGTAGTTCCCTAGGTTTCACTGCAATCAGCAGTCATCTTTCACTAATAATTACCAATAATCCTCATGAAATAAGTATAACCACATATTGGAATGTACTAACATAGAAAATCAACATTTTCATAAAAAGAAATAATAGAAAACATAGTTTATTTGCTAAATCAGAAAATATAGGGTTGAGTCCTTGTTTTTGTCTTAGAAAACATATTATTCATAAGAAAAAGAAAAGTTGTTTTAGAAAAAGGAAATGAAAAACTTGGAAAATTAAAAGGAGACGGTGTGATCCCCTATTTTTGTCCCAATAAAGAAGAAAAGAAAGGGGCAGAAGAAGTAGAAAATCAACATACCTTGGTTGCTCTTGTTTGTTGATTGGATAAAATCTTCAAGTCCTTTCCTTGCCCATTGGTACAGTTTGAAGTCTTCAAGGGTCAAAGACAATGTCTACTATCTTGTTGGCCCCCAAATTGAATAGATTAGTGTAATTATGTGTATTGTAATGTTATAATTATCATAAAGTAAAAAATATAAAAATATTATATGGCACCTTGTACAAAAATAACCAAGTGCTTGGGCAAGGTCACCCTCCACAGGTGCCTTGTCGCCTTGGCAACTGTCTTAGTCATCCTCTTTTGATCTTTCTGTGACCTGATTAGCTTATCTGTTGCCAGGTGTACACATTTGGTCCAACATTTCGAGCAGAGAATTCTAACACTTCTAGGCATTTAGCTGAATTCTGGGTATCTTTTTCTCATTCTTGTTTGAATTATTTTGAAGTTTGCACCTCCCCTTATTTGAGATGATAGTTTCCTGGTTCATGGCATAACTGATCAGAATTTTTAACAAGTTTCTTCTTGTTCAAGATGATTGAACCAGAACTTGCTTTTGCTGATTTGAGTGATGACATGGCATGTGCAACTGCCTATCTAAAGTATGTGGTAGGTCACTTTTTTGCATATATTGTCCATCCAATATTTATGCTGGTGATTATGAGCTCTCTCTTCCCATGCATGCTTGTTGTTAAGGGTGTCAATGGACAGGTTTGGGCAGATTGGA